TCCTCCCTTCCCGGGGCGGGGGGCGCTGCTGTCTCCGGAGGGAGCCCAGCTCTGCACGTGGGGACCCCCAGCCCCACCGCGGTGCCAGGACAGCACCGGTCACGAGCCACCTTGCTCATCCCCTGGGCCCTGGGGCTTTGGTCCCGCTGGACATCTGGTTGGGACAGTGTCCCTGCAGGACGAGGACAGTGGCACGGAGGGCTGGTCAGGAAGAGAGACTGAACCAGGGAGACCCCACCTCAAAGAGGGACAGCGAGACAGAGACACGCACAGAGGGAAGGGGGGGACAGAAATACGGGAAAGGCACAGAGGGCCGCCAGGGTGGGAAGAGGGATCTGCAGCAGGAGGAGCATGCTGCAGACAGCGGGACATTGGGACAGCCGGGGGGCGAGGGGGGTGCTGCAGGGCAAGGCTCTGCGGGGACGTGCGGGCAGCCAGCGGCCCTCATCACCAGGAGTCCTGCTCCCAGGCCACGTGCGGGCCTGGCGGGGAATGGGGAGGACCCGGGGGCTGGGCGGCTCAGGGGCTGGGGGCGTGTGTCCACCTGCAGCCACTGGGCTGTCACCCCAGCCGGGCGCCCAGGCAGGGTCCTCACCCAGGGTAGCGCACGCTGGCCGGGCCAGGGCCACCGGCACCCCAGGGACAGAGGGGACAGAGAGGCCGGAGCAAGGGCCACCCCGGGCCACCCACATTTCCCACCACAGTCAGCTGGGAACCCGGCGGTTTCAGCGGGGGACCCCAGAGGTCCCCCCAAGTCAGGGGCTCCGGGCGGGGCCTCCAAACAGCCAGGCCACTAGGAGGTCACTGAGGGCCCCAGTCCCAGAGGGGAGCCCTGAGCCCCGCCGCCGTCCCTGTCCTCCCTGCAGGGCCTCCCCCCGGGCTCTGCCAGGCGCCCCCTCCCTCTGCTGGAGCCCAGCGCTGCCCCCTGGACCCTGGGAGGTAGCAATTGGGATTTAGACCAAACCACCGGGCAAACCCAAGCCACTTGGGGATTAGGATAGGGAGCCGGGCAGGCTCGCAGGACGGGGTGGCCGGCACCCGCCCTCCAGGCCTTGAAAAAGCCGACGTGACAGAGAAGGTCTTGCCTATCATCCCCAGTGTGTTAGACAGGCCTAGCCCCCCACAGAAAAGGTCCAGCTTGAGGCTTCCCTTCGCAATCAGACCTCCCAGGCTTCCGCCGGGTGCGTGCGGGCCACCCAGCCCAGCATGCAGGCCAAAGGCACAAGCGTGGGGCTCCAGGAGGACCCAGGGGGGGCCCTGGGGGACAAAGGGAATCATTGGACCTTGAAGCTGCTCATCGCTGACCTATGGGAAAGCTACTTCTCTGAGGTGTGTGTCTTGTATCAGCCCTTTGCTGAAATCTTACTAATACTCGTACAGAAAGTGCATGGGCCTCTGTCTTTTAAGGTTTATTTATTTATCTGAGATAGAGAGGTCGGTGGGGAACAGCACAGGGAGAGGGAGAGGGTCCTCAAGCAGACTCCATGCTGAGCATGGAGCTCGATGTGGGGCTCAATCCCAGAACCCCGAGATCGGAGCCTGAGCCCAAATCCGGTCAGCTGCTTAATGGACCAAGCCACCCAGGTGCCCTGCATTGGCCGCCAGAGCCTCTAAAGCATAGGGAGGTCACACATTCCTGTCCTGCTGTTAAACCGCTCCGCCGTCACCTCGCAGGCAGATCTTACTCCTCTGTCACTCACGGACTCATTCATCGTCCCAGCCATTCAAGTAACACTCTTGAATGTTGAGGCCAGGGCCCAGTGGTGGAAATTGCTGTTCAGGACCCAGAGGTAGGTAAGCGTGTACTCTACCCTCCGAGAGTTCACCACCCATCTGAGAAGAGTAGGTGGGTGGTTAGAGGACCAAGAGATTCCAGAGAAGGAGCTCTCGTTTGCTTCTGCTTATATCTTGCCTCCTCTGAAGGGATGCAGTGAACTCGGCAGGGGTACTGACTGCCACAGCACAGCCTTGAGGGAATAAAAGTAGGATCTAGAGGCTGATGTGCATCAGAGCAATGCACAACCTGTGCAACTGTTCATGAAAGCCCTGCTGCTGATCCAGGCAAGGTATTTACCATGAACTGCTCGGAGGAGCAGAAACAAAGGGGTGGGAGGCTGTGAGGAAGGAAGTGAGGGACGCATGCTCCAGGAGGTCAGGTCCAAATGAGTCTTGCCAGCCTGTAATCAGGAAACCAGCCCAAGAGTCAGGAGCTGGGAACAGGAGCAGGGCAAAGAAAGGCACATTGCGTGGGCAATGGGCAATGGTTTGGCCGGAGTATTGAGGGCTGCTTCTTATGGGGTTTGACTTTCTGGTTCGGGGACAGGTGCATGAGGAATAAGAAGAAATGGTTTGTTTTGGGGGTGGTGTCTTTTTTTTTTTTTCTTTTTCTTTTTCTTTTTCTTTCTTACCTACAGATCTGCATGGCAACAGGGGCAAGACCCAGAGCTAATAGTGGAAGTCAGAGGGGTCGGGCCACAGCCGAACAAAGAGGAGACGCCAGCACAGCCGGAGAGCACTCGTAATAGAAGGGGCTGCCCTGGGGATGGCAGGCTCCGTCACTCAAGCTGCTCGGGCCCAGAGGGGCTGGGGCTCCAGGCAGGGCTGGCGGGGTGGGGGTGGGGGTGCCTCCTGGGGCTCTGAGGGGCTCTAACTCGCGAGGTACTGCAGTGTTGAGTGCTGTGTCTCCCACGAGCACCAGGACGCTCGGAGGCTGCTTCACAGCTTGTGGAAAGGGCCTGACTCAGTCGGTGCCTGCAGCGTGTGTGTGGATTCTTCTGGTTCTTTGATTTACTTAAGCAAAGATTTTCTTCCGCCCTTTCTCAGATCTCCAGCCTAATGAAGCACGAAGTGAGCCAGGGTCCGGCGTGGAGCCGGGTGGAGGAGCGTCATCTCTGGCTGGCCCCTGGCCCAGAGCATCAGGCTGGAAATCTTTCCCGAGTCCCATGGTGGGAGGCGGAGAGGAGGACAAGACAGAAAATATTATCTAAACCAAGTGTCCGGTCACGTCCCCGTCGGAGCCATAAGGCCGCACGATGCATCCGCATGGGTTGGAAGGAGGCAGCCCCTCCTCTAGGTGGACACAGCCCCCACACTCGCAGCCGTCCTATGCCCTGTCCCCTGCCCTGCCCCCTCCGAGCGCGTCGCCCGTGTGCTGCGGGCTCAGCACGACACGGAGGAAACTGGATCAATTAATGAGACTGAGCGAGAGGCTCCAGAGACAGCTCTGGATCAGAATCCGCCGTCTGGAAGACAACACCACACTAAGCCAGTGTCTGATATGAAGACTGATGTCTTGGCCCTTCTGGGCCTTTCTCAGAGCCACGGAGCACAGGGAAGGCTGAGGACAGAGAGAGAGAGAGAGAGACCTTCCAGGAACAAATCCCCAGATGACTTCCTCCCTCGCTAGCTCATTAAATGCACTTACTCCTCGACTTGTACTTAAATACTTAGGCGTTAAATAGTTTTTGATTTATGCATATGTTTAATACACGCCTTTACTGTCTGTCCATAATTCCATTCTTTGTCTTGAATTCTAAGCTCCTAGAAAAGTGCCAACTCCGCATTACATGATTAACATTGCTCAGTAAAACGCCTGGCACGTTGCCACCCGGTGCTTTTAGACAATTGTAATGATGATAAAGTTTAAATTTCCCACCCTGGGCATTCCAGACCTTCCATCCTCTGACCAGCCCACCCCCTCAGCCCACTCCCTTCCCCACCACCCAGTATTCAGCCTCATCATCCTGTGCGACAACCGAAATGTCCTACATTGCTTGGGCACCTCAAGGCCTTTCTTTCATCTGTACACCCCGCCCCCCTCCTCCTATCCCTGTGTGTCCATCTAACCTCTTTTTTTAAAATATTTTTTATTTATTTATGATAGGCACAGAGAGAGAGAGAGAGAGAGAGAGAGAGAGAGAGAGAGAGAGAGAGAGGCAGAGACACAGGCAGAGGGAGAAGCAGGCTCAGGCTCCATGCACCGGGAGCCCGACGCGGGATTCGATCCTGGGTCTTCAGGATCGCGCCCTGGGCCAAAGGCAGGCGCCAAACCGCTGAGCCACCCAGCGATCCCCATCTAACCTCTTCTGAAGGTGAACTGTAACACTCTTCCCCATGAAGCCTGTCCTGATTCCTCGTGCAGGAGCGAGCCGGCGTTTTGCTCTCCCATGCAAATCTATATCATTACTAGATTAGCAGATGGCTGCTTCCCCTGCTAATCTGGGGTTCCCTGAGTACAGAGGCTGTGTCGTACCCAACTCCCTCCCCACGGTGTTCGCTACAGGGCTGAGCACCTGGTATTTTAGCTCTGCAACCTGGACAAGCCCTGTCCCCACTCTGAGTCCCAGTTTGCCCAACAGTACATGAGGGGTTGGATGAGGTGATCTCTAGGAGCGTGGTGGCTCTGAGGACTATGATCCATAGCCCACTGAGGGCTCACTGATGGGCTAGAAGACCCAGGAGGAGGACGTGCCCCACCAGAAGAAGGAGGGCTTTGGGGACTTCTGTTAATTGACCCCTAAACATTCTTGGTTTGCCAAGAAGTTGGAAATTCGAACCAGTTACTCTTATGTACCAGATTCCTCTCTTCCTTGAATGGCGATGGCAATAGGTGACTCAGAGAATAGTTGCCACAGAGATGCTGTCTTTGTTCTTTGAAGGTGGTGCTGAGGGCTTCTCCAGTAGTTCCCCTTCCTCCCCTCAACAAGCAAAGGCCTGATACCCACCCCCCCACCCCCGGTGCGGCCAGGGACACCCTACTCCTGAAATCCAGACCCCCTTCCACCGTGGCAAGGGTTGGGCTGTACACGTGGTGTCCAGGCCCCTCATTAGAAGAGCTGCCTGCTGCAGCCCTGGAGTCCCTAGGCCAATACTTATTTCTGGCAATAATCATCAAGTATTTTGTAAGAGCCTTGGGTAATACAAGCAAATCTTTTAAAAATAGGCCTATATTGTCTCCCCAGATTCCTGGTGACTCAGGACACCGTACAGTAGCTGTGATTCACAGTGTAGGCACCGAAGGCCTGTGGGTGAGTCTTGGCAGCTGCTCTGCTCTCCCTCCTGGAAGCCAAAGAGTCACAGCCAAGGAGAGGAGGTACGCACACACCCCACACCCCCATTCTTCCGGAATGCCTGGGCTTCTCTGCCTTACAGTTGTGGCCAACCATCAAGAGCTTTGGGCAAGACAGCTCCAGAGCTGGGGTGGGGTGGGGAGGGAGACACACTGGGACTCTGGCAGCTGTGTGTGGGGGCAGAGGCCCACCCAAGTTCTGGGGGAAAGAGGAGAAGGGGTCCACGGGGGGGGAGGGTGCGAGGAGGGGATGGGGAAGCTCTCAGCTGATAGAGGCCCAGCCAAGAGTCTTGGGCTTCTAGCCCAGCCGGGCTGCTGAATCACGGAGGCCCCTTAATCTCCTGTGGAGTGCAGGCCCAGCTCCTAGAAGCCCAGGGGGCTTAGTGGTATTTGTGCAGCTATAGACACGGGGCCTGTGGGCTGGCACAAAGCCCTGCCAGGCTGTGGTTGGGGGGGGGCGGGGGAGCTGGGCAGGGTAGGAGACAACAGTGAGAGGTGGGCCGGGCCGGGCCCTCTGGAGAGACTGGGGTGGGCCTGGGCCAGCCTCTGACAGGAGGGTTAGTAGAAGGGATTGCCAGCAACAGAACGCGGGGGTGGGGGTACAGGGGGGAGCCAGGCACCCATGACGTCGTCCAGACGGCTCACCCAGCTCTAAGAAGACACGGGTCATGCACTTTTCCGTTTTCATAGCTGAGACAAAGACTTCAACTTTCTCAAAACGTACCAGATGTGCTGAGAGCTTTCGGGAGGCTAATTAGTAAGTACATTCACGGAAACTCTGGACCCCCTTAGAGCCCCCAACCCCTGCCCTCAGGGCCCAGGCCTCCCTTAACTCTCTCATCTCGGGGTGCCCGTGGGAGGTGGGAGTAGGGTGGCCCCTCTAGCTGCCCCCCCCCGAGGCCCTTCCAGCTGCCCCCCAGATGCCCAGGGAGCCAGCGGGGCTGGAGCAGCGGCTTATGCCACCTGAGGTGCCGCACGGACGGACGTGACCCTTGGCAAAAAGTGTGTGGGTGGAGACAACGTCATTCGAGATATTGTCGGGAGGGTGTCTCCGTCCTATACTGCCTGTTGCTCTGGGGCTTCCCGTGCATTTGGGGGGGGCCTCATCTCTGCCATTCCTGAGCTGTCACTGTCGCAGTAGACTTTTGGGAGTCCCCCAAATGATGACAGACTTGAGGGTCAGGCACTGAGTAGACAGGGATTTCTCAAGGCCTGGGGGCCCCAACTTTGAAATGTTGTTAATGAGCAGTCCCCACAAGGCGGGACAGGAGGAGGAGCCCCCCTGGTTTCCACGGCCAGTGAGGGGAGGGGGCCAGAGAGGCCAGGTCTCAGCCTGGACAGACGTGACCGCTCAGCTGACGAAGACACTTGGTCTTCTTTCCAGAGTCTGCAGGGACCCCCTCCACGGTCCCCTCCACCACGAGGTTGCCTGTGGCTGCCTCCCAGAGGCGGCGAGCCTGAAGGTGTGGCTGGGGAGGTGGCAGTGCGGCTGCAGTCGGCCTGCGAGGCTCACGGGGCAGAGAGGACCCTGGAGGGACCGAGTGGGCACGGAGGCCCCCAGCCGTGGCCGACTGCGGCACACACCAGCGGGGCGTGCGTCCGTCTGTCCGTCCTCCTGGCCCTGCAGTCCCGTGCAAACCCTGGGAGCAGCCTCTCTCAGCCACGTCTTACAATCGAGTCGCCCAAGGTGCGGGAACCCAGGCCCCACCCCCAAAGGTTCTAAGCTAATTGGTCCGGGCGAAACGGTGGCCCTGGCATGTTTTTTAAAAAGCATCCTGGGCTTGTGAACCAGGGAAGTAAACCACTTCCTTCGGGGTTGGAAGTACCCTCCACACGGGTGCCTGACGCAGTGAGCCAAGTGAGCGCGCAGGACGCGGAGCCCAGGGAGGGGCGTGCAAGTGCAGGGTGGGCGCCTCCTCCTCCGATGGCCCCCGGGTGCCGCCGCCCCCCACCTCGCTCTGCTCCCCCTCCGGCCCCGCGGGTTCCGTCCCTGGCCTGATTCGAAGATGTAACTCAGCCCCCTTGTCCCTGCCCTCTGGAGGCCCTAGGATGCGGTGGACAAAAGTGTCATGGGGCCAGGGGACCTGTCCTGAGAAGACACGGGCAGAAAACCGAAGAATGAACAGACCAAATCGTGACCTTAAGTGCTTTGCTGGTTTTTGGAACAAGAATGACACGACACGACTACTGGCTGCGAGACACAGCTTAGTCATTTCCACCAGCCACCACCCCCCCCCCCCCCGCCCCGATGCCAGGCCATAGCCGGCAACTCACTGGGGGGGACTGGATCCAGGGCCCTGGAGAGAGGGACTCAAGTCCTACAAACCAGTGTGTGTTCCTGTTGTGTGACAGTCACCGAGACAGAGTGTGGGCGGGACTCAGGGGCCCCTCTTGGGCGCTCATCCTTGGCCTCACCCAGAAATCGATCTCAGCAGCAGAGAATCAGAAGTCGGCACCAAGGCAGGCAGATTTTTTAGGGGCATGTGGAACCGATTAGTCTGCGAATGTGAGCTCAGGGCTCCAGGGACCGGCCCAGTGCGGGTTCCACGCTAGGCCAGATGCGTCCCTTGTAAATATAAGTGGCCTTTGTTCCCTCTGCCCAGCCTCCCCCACTCCTGGCCTCAGCACGGATCCGGGTCCTCCAGAAGGCAACCCCACCTGGCCTCGCCCGTGGAATCAGCGCCTTGAGCCCGCCACAGCTGCAACAGGGCATCATTGCGTGTTGTAGCCCAAAGTCCTTTGGGGGGGGCAGGGGGACAAAAGCCCTGGGCGCGGGGGCATGGCTGGGTTTTGCGGCGCTGTGTTGGCGCTTGGCCTGGTCCTAGCATCACCTCCTTCTGAGCCGCGACAGCAATGGGAGCTTCAGTAGGGTCCTGAGAGGAGGCTGGGGCCTGGGCTGCTGACCAGGCGGCAACGACCCCAGCCCACCACCCAGAGCCCTGGGGGCCACCTCCCCTCCCCGTACAAACCCCCAGATCCTGAACCCACTTCCTTCAGAATAAGAAACTGAGGTCCTAGGGAATCCCTGGGTGGCTCAGCGGTTTAGTGCCTGCCTTCGGCTCAGGGCACGACCCTGGAGTCCCCAGGATCGAGTCCCACGTCGTGCTCCCTGCGTGGAGCCTGCTTCTCCCTCTGCCTGTCTCTCTCTCTCTCTCTCTCTCTCTCTCTCTCTCTCTCTCTCACTGTCTTTCATGAATAACTAAATAAAACCTTAAAAAAAAAAACAACCAAGAACCTGAGGTCCGACTTCCTTCCGACCTGATGGCTTCAGCAGATCTGGGGGCCCAGGGCACCTGCCTCTTCTTGGGGCTCTGGGACGCTGGGGCCGGTGAGCACGTGCGCAGCCACCGGCGTCCCTAACGAACTAGGCCACTTTAGCTCAAGTTCTTTCTCTCCCCCTCTTGGTTTCTGCTGAGAGAAGCAGCATCAATGACCCATAAAACTCGAGAGTTTCTCCCCCTACCCGTCTGCTGGGGTCTATTAATCTCCTCCGATAGCCAGCAGCTAGCCCATCTGCGAGACACCTGGTCTTGATTTAATTAACGTGTAAAGCAAAAGAACATCAGGCAGGTAAAAATGTGTAATTAGCAATAGGCTCTCGAGCTTTTCTTTGCTGGTTCGCCCCTCTTCCCCTTTCCAGGCAGTGGGAGGGGATGGGAAGGAGCCAAATGCAAATACGGTTTAATTCCATCTTGAGTAATTACTCCAGAAAGCCCTCTAAAAAAATTGCTGGATGTTTAACTCAGCAATTTGAACTTGCATTTGGGAACATCATCACACTGTAAATGCTTTGATCTTTTTTACGCCTCTGTACATAAGGAAAACCAAGTACGCCTAATTCCTCGGCCGTGTTGTCATAAGCATTAGAAACCCTTGGCACGTGGCCAAGGCAGGAGGCTGGAGAGGGGCTGGCTTCGCTGGGGGAGGAGACAGCTGGATGCCTTGGAGAGGACATGGAAGAGGAGCCAGGGGCTGGAGTTCCACTCCTCCCACTCGGTGGCTCACAACACGATGCTGGGCAGGACATGCCCCCTCCTGACCTCTATTTCCTGGTGTTAAAATGAGGACATAGGGCCAGATGGTTTCTAAATATCAAAGCCTTCCCTCCCCCACACCCCCAAGCTCTGCCATTCTTTGCTTCTAGGAAGCACATTCCTTTCTCACCCCACAAACCCAGAGGTGAGGCAGGTGAGCCAGGGCAGAGGTAACCAAGTACAGAGAGACTTGCTCCGCAGGTTTGCTTATCAAAATGTTTAAGGAAAAGTTGGCCAGTTGTGGTCCCTTTGAACAGCGGTGTGCCTTGGATGCGGTGTAGAGCCTGTAGCCGCAGAGGAGAAAAAAATTGGTGTCTGGGGGGTTTGTGGGGCACCTGTGACCTCAGACTTAATCAGCATCACATGCTCAACCTATAACACTGAAAAACCACACGGGGTTTAGGCAATTGCCCAATTACACCAATGCCATTGGTTTCATGCTCTTGCATGCTCCACAGGGGAAGAAAAGCAGCCTGGCGCCCCTTCTCGTTCCCGTGGCCGTGGCTGAAATCTATTCATTCATTTCTTCAGTCAGGCATTCATTCAAAACATGCTAAGCATCCATAATGCGTGGGCCCTCCAGGGGTCCACCGGGCTACAGGGTCTCAGCTAAGTCATCTCCCTAGTGTTGGGTTCTCCTACCATTCTGGAGCCTTCCTCTTGAACGTACCTCTGATTGCTCTGATCTGAAACAGGATCAAGCATCCCCTTGGTCCTGGGTCCCCCGCGGCCCCATGGCTCTTCCGGACCACATGAGCTGGGGCTGACCCCACGGCTTCGGTAGGAGGCAGAGTCCAGGAGGGCCCTTCCATCTGCTCGGGTGACCACTGCAGCCCCGCTCCCCAGCCCGCCTTGCCATGACTGTTTGGTTTTGGTTCCCACTCGGAGGGAGGCCCCCACACGTGTGCCTACCTGCTGCCGTCCTAACCCTTCCTCGGCTGAAGACCTGAAGGGGAGCTGGGTGTGCAGTGCGGTCGGAGACGGAGGGGTGCTGGTGTGAGCAGTCCGGGGGGCCCGCAGCCTGTAGCCGTGCCCGGGACGTCTGGGGGCCGCGGGCAACCCGGGGGTACGGCTCCTCGGTGCAGCACAGCAGGCGGCTTTCTCTTTGTAATGAGCGTTTCCTGCGAACGGCCTTGCAGAACCTTCTGGGCTCCTGCCCGTTGGCTCTGCTGCAGGCGCAGCGATGCCAGCCTGGCGCCCTCCTCATTCCTGTGGCCGCGGGGCCACCCGCTGCCCCTCGGAGCCGCAGGTTACGGCTGATGCCAAGCACCTGCCCCAGGGCCCGGGGGGCAGGAGGGGGAAGAGCCAGCTCCCCCACTACGCACAGGAGAGGCGAGGCTGCCCGGCTCTGCAGTGCTTGTTGGGCAGCGACTTGGCCCCGGACGTGCTCAGGGAAATGGTGGGGTCCAGACCTTCCTGGGGGGTCACTGAGGTCACTCTGTGGCAGAGTGCTGTGTCCCCCTATGCCCACCCGGCCCCTCCTCGACTGAACGCTCGGTTGGCCCGGTAAGGCGGCGGCTAGCCCGGTGTCCTCCGCGGCTCGCGTGGCCGTGTCCCCGAGCTCGGGCCGGCGTGATGGGGGGAAGGCAAGGGCGACCCCTGCCCCGCCAGGCGGAAGGAGGCTCGGGCCGGGGCGCCTTCCCCTGCCAGCTGCACGGGGGGCGCGGGGGCCAGGTGGGGCAGCGGCGGGGAGACCGGGAGGACGGGGCGCGAACGGGGCCTGAGCCCTGGTGACTCGAGCGGGACCGTCTTATCAGCTCAGGGCTCTTTTGAGAAACAAGCTTCTATTTTGTTTAAACAAACGGCAGGGACCCTGGGTGTCCTCCCAACACAGGCCAGTGTCCTGAACTCCTGACTGCCCTTCTGCCTCTGGCCTCCCCGCCGGCTGACTTCAGCCCCTGGCTCCACCTCCCAGCGCCTTGGGTCGTCCTCCCAAGGGAGCCCCGATCCTTTCTCTGGCGCTGCAAGCAGTGAGGCAAGGGTGGTGGCGGCGGAGCCGGCCTTTCCAGATTGTTTGCTGGTTCCCTCACCACTTGTGTTTCCGACACCAAGGGCTTGGTGCCTCCCGAGCCCTTATCTCGTCTGCTTGTCTTGAGTTGGGTCCTCCCCGATCCCCCTGCAACCGGACGTGAGCTCCCCAAGGGCAGGCACTGTACCTGTCCACTCTTGAAAAGCCTCCGGTAACATAGTAGGTCCCTAATCAAGGTGTGTAGGTTCACATCTTGGGATTCCCAGGGGACCACAGCGAGTCCTGGACATTGCAGAGTAAAGTCGGCTTGTTACTAGCTTTTTACCAATTGTTGAAACCTTCCCAGCTGGAAAAGGCAATTGGATCAATAAATTAATTCACCAGATGCTTCTCGATTGGAGTTTTTCCAAGAAGTTTTCCTCCTTGAAAAAAAAAAAAAAAAAGGAAAGGAGAGGGTTATGGCATCAGCCCTACCTAATCCCCCCGCACTTCAGCCTCTTGCGGCAAGCCATGCCCACCCACATCGACCTGTAAGTGTTAAGCAACAACCCCAGAGCGAGCTAAATCTTAGTCACTGAGCTGAGAAGATAGAATTGGTCTGCACTGTACTTTCTGTGACACCCAAAAAGAACTTCTCCCCATGGACTTGAGTGGGGCAGTTGACCAGGAAATACAGTAGAAGACCTTAATTTAAGAGCTTTTAAACGATGATCTACGGCAGTAGCTCAGCCTTATTTCATTATATTCCTGCTCACCCCGATGGCAGGTGGTAAAAAATGGCCACAAGACTTTGCAGTTCCTCTCGTTTCTGGCGGAGCCCATTTCCCTGCTCCTTTTCTTTTATTGTGATAAGATACACAAAACATAAAATTCACTATTTTAACCATTTTTAAATGCACAGCGCTGTGGCGTGACATAAACTTACATTGTACAACAATTACCACCATCCATCTCCAGAACTTTCTCACCTTCCCCAACAGAAACACTATACTCATTAAATACTAACTCCTCCCCTAGCCCCCTGACAACCACCACTCTACTTTCCGGCTCCGAGCATTTGATTCCTCCAAGTACTGCGTGTAAGTGGAATCATGCAGTGTATGTCAGGCTGCGTCTGGCTTATTTCACTGAGCAGAATGTCTTCGAGTTTCAACCAAGTTGTAGCATGTGGTCAGAAATTCTTTCCTTTTGAAGGCTGGATGATGTCCAAGTGTGCACATGTATTTATTTATACCACATCTTGTTTATTCATTCATACTTGGGTCATCCGCTAGACGCCTGGGCTACTTTCATCTGTTGGCTATTGTGAGTAATGTTGCCATGAACATAGACATACAAATATCTATTTGGGCCCCTGCTCTCAATTCTTTTGAGTATATACCCAGAACTGGAATTGCTGGATCATATAGTAATTTTATATTTAATTTTTTGATCACTCACCACACTATTTTCCACAGTGGCTGCCCCATTCTACATTCCCACCAGCTATGCACCAAAGTTCTGATTTTTCCACATCCTTTGCAGCACTTCTTTTTCTGTGTTTTTGGGATAATAGCTACCCTAATGGGTATGGAGTGGTTTCTTACTGTGGCTTGATTTGCATTTTTATAATGACGGGTGCATATCTTTTCATGTGTTCACTAGCTGTTTGTATATTTTCTTTTTTTTTTTTAAAATTTTTATTTATTTATGATAGTCACAGACAGAGAGAGAGAGAGGCAGAGACACAGGCAGAGGGAGGAGCAGGCTCCATGCACCGGGAGCCCGACGTGGGATTCGATCCCGGGTCTCCAGGATCGCGCCCTGGGCCAAAGGCAGGCGCCAAACCACTGCGCCACCCAGGGATCCCTTTGGAGAAACGTCTGGTGCAGTTCCCCATTCTTTGAATCTGGGCTGACCATTAGTGTGACACAATTTGTCCAGAACTTTCTAAGTTTTTGTACCAAAAGTCCTGTATCCTGGGAAACCCCTCAGTCTCAGGCAAACTGGGACAGTTGGTCACTCTGGCTGGCCTTGTGTCTTGCTTTGATCAACAGAATATTTTGGAAATGACAATGTACAGATTTCAAGCGTAGGCCTCAAGGGGTTTTGCAGCTTCCTCTCTTGCTGCTCTTGGAAATCTGCTGCCACATAAACAAATCCACGGTAGCCTCTTGGCTGATGAGAGGCGTGGGGCCCGGTTG